TCTCCATCTTGTTTTTCTCTGCTGGCATGAAAGTAAGGGGGTAAAAAGCATGATCATAAATAGTCAGAGCTAATTATCTTCAGTAATAAACAAGATTTTAGCTGATCAGAAAACAAAAGAGAAAATAAATGGGACAAGGAGGAGGAATGAGTAGGGCAAGTACAAAATAGAATCCCTGGGTAATATTGCCTTTAGCCTGTCTATTGCCTGAATGTGTTATCTTTATTCTGTATGAAGAGGGAGGTGAAAGGGCTATTGGGAAGAGAGAAGCTAACTGAGTTAAATAAACCTCCTGAGGTAGTCTTGATGGAGTTTAGTCTCAGGGGCCATGGGAACAGTAGGAGATACTCTTTAAAGCCCTTGGACATTTAATTGGCTGTCAGTAAGGTAGAGCAGACCCTCGTATAACAAAATCAGAGAGGAGATGGCAGAGGGCAAGAATGCTAACCAAGATTGCCCGCAGCCAAGGCCAAACTTCTGTCACCCTCGACCCTTTACAACCTGGCCACAGATATAAGCAGACATTAAACTGCAGTATTTAAAGGAAGCCAAATAAATCTCAGTTAAGGTAAAAAGGGAATCAAAGAGACTTGACCCCACATTACAACCATGCAAATAGAAAGTTCTAGGCTAACTTGCCCAAGTTCAGTTTGAGTAAAATGGAGACTGACAACATACAAAATCAAAATGCTACAAAAAAAGGAAGACAGTAAAATATGGATAAAAAATCAATTTTAGAAGAAAATGGAACTGAAATAAAAGAAAAACAAATTCCCTCTGAGTGTTCTGAGGTTACATGAACTCAAATTTATTACAGACTAGATGATAAAGACAAATAATGAGATAAGAAGCAAGATTTTAGAGATGAGCAAAAAATTGAGAATCAAAAGAACACTTATAAAAACCATTAAATATATTAGAAAGAATAAGCAACTAGATATACCCATCTGAAAAACCTAATATACTAACATAGAGAAAAGTCAGAGAAAATAAAAAAAGATGAAGAGATTCAAGCAATGAACAAGAAGATAATAGACATTGATGTCCAATAAAGGATAACAGGTGCTGCTGAAGAAAATCGCCCAACAAATGGAAGGGAAAAATAATTCAGAAACTTAAGAAAACAGAATTTTGGGAATAAAAGAAAAACTATATCTATAGAAACAAAAGCACCCTATGTCTGAGGGGGGAAAAAGGTATCTAATGGGCAATACTAAAATAAACCTTTGTTAAATTATTGATTTTCAAGTATAGAGATGGATTTTTCAGGAATTCAGTGAGAAGAACAAATGAGACACATACTCACGGGAGAAAATCCTCAGATTTCTTCAGAGCGCCGTTCAGTGTCATTCACAGTATAAACTTCACAGGCTGTCATTCTCAAATGTGGGAAAAAAATTATGAGTAATTACACATGAACACCCCCCCCAAAAAAAAAACCACACAAATATACACAAACTCACCAATAAAAACAAACCGCTTAATGATATAACATGACATAAGAGGATAAAGCCATGGTGAAAGGGTTGGGGATGAGCACTGCTATCATTTACGTATAGAAGAAAATTAAGAATTATCATACTCTGAATTATAGAAAGTAAGTATTTTAAGTTCTGACAACATACAAAATTATTATAAAAACCAAAGTTTGAGTGGTAGAGGATTGAGAGTGGAAGTTTAAATTGCTCAAGGTTTTTTTGTTGTTGTTGTTGGTTTTAAATTAGAAATTGAACTAGAAGTCTATGCAGGATAGAATGACTTTAAAAAAAAAAAAAAGCCTTAAAACTTTCAAATCACCAGAGAGAAAAACACATATCACATAAAGAAACAAAGACAATTCATTTTAGAAATTTAAAAATAAAAGCATTACCAAACACAAAAAACCCTTGCCATCGATTCTGACTCGTAGTGACCCTACATTTAAAAAATACAACATGAGAAATGAATTAGTTATATCAATTAATATAAATGAGATAGTACCTGTTAATATAGTGATGTTGTTCTCAGTTGCTGTTGAGTTGATTCTGACTCAGGGTGACCCCATGTGGGCAGGGTAGAACTACTGCATAGGGTTTTTAAGGCTGTGACCTTTCGGAAACAGACCATCAGGCCTGTCTTCAAGGCACCTCTGAGTGTGTTCAAATGACCAACCTCATGGCTGGTGGTTGAATGCTTAGCCATTTGTGCCACCTAGGGAATCCATTATAATGATAGATATATACTTATATTTAATTTATATACATTTATACACACTGTTACACATTATATAAATGAGAACAAGACTCATATATTGAGTTAATATGTGAAGAAAAGAAATCCCACGTAGACAGTATATACAAGAGTTAAGTCTAAAAATGTTACTCAGATTAAAACTAAAAGAATAGAATTGAGTTAACAGGTAAATGCAAACAAAAATAAAGATAGAATTCATGATATTAACTTCCGACTATATTGAGTTCGATCCAAAAAAGGGCTAGAAGACATGCAGAAATGCAATGTATGATAAAGGTTCCAATTCTCAATGTGATTATAATTGCCATAAATCATCAAGTCTAAATAACTTATCAAAAAACAAAAACAAAAAAAGCATCTAACTGCAATAAATGCAAAAATAATTTAACAGAAACACAGTGGTGGCAACAGAAGTTAATTCATCATATCAGCTATTAAAAGATTATGTAGACAACAAATGAGTTGCAGTGTATAGTGTGTGAATAAAGTCACTGAGAAGTTTAAATATATATGCAGAGGGTTAAAAAAAAAACCTGTTGCTGTCGAGTCAATTCTAACTCATAGTGACTATAGGACAGAGTAGATCTGCCCCTTAGTGTTTCTTAGGACCAGCTGGTGGATTCAAACTGCCAACCTTTTAGCTAGTAGCCAAGCTCTTAACCACTGCACCATCAGGGTAGAGCTAGACAGATAGATGTTGGAGTTAGATGAATGGATGAAGGGATGAATGAGGTATCTCTAGAGAAGAAATCTTCATTTTGATACTGTGGGTCATATACATAAAAAGACCATATATTTGACCTCGAAGAAAACTTAAATACAGTCCAAAAATTTAGAATAATAAGAAGTACATTACTGACCACACTGCAATAAAATCAGAAATTAATAGAAGGAAAATATAAAGCCCAACCACCTTAAAAAAAAGAAAAATATTCTACATAACTCTTAATTACATAAAAAGTCAAAGGGATATTTATAAAATATATAAAAAACACTAAACATTTTAAAAATTCCACATCCATTTCATCTCACTACTAAAAATCACCTGGAAAAGAAACTTCTGAGAATATTTATGAAAATTTTGAAATGGAAAAGTAATGAGGGAGCAACTAACTATCAGGTACTGAAATACATTACAAAGTTACAATAATTAAAATAAATTGGTACTGCAGAAGAAACAAAACAGAGAGGGCACAAGTAGACCTACGCATTTGTAGCATTTAATTTGTGATGATGGTATTATTTTTAAATCAGGAAAAGAAATTATTCAATAAATTAGCATGGTTAGTGTTGTAGAAAAAGTGGGATTCTACCGTACTTTATACCTCAAAATAAATTCTATATGGAAAAAAAAAAAGTATTAAACATGAAAGAAAACCCATGAAAGTTTAAAGAAAGCATTGGTAAATGTGTTTATAACCTTGGCAGAGAGAAACTCTCCAAAAAGGGCATGTTGTCGTTTTTGTTGTTAGAAGCCCTGTAGTCAGCCCTGACTCATGGTGACCCCACGCACAATGGGATGAAAACGCTGTCCATTCCTGGGTGGTTACACATGAGACCATTATGATCTATAGCACTTTCATTGGCTGGTTTTCAGAAGTTGAGTTTTCAAAAGTTGAGCCTGGGTGTCCCACATGGAAAGCAAGAATTCTATCACTGAACCACTGTCCCCGCCAAAGGGCAAAAGATCTAGGATTCATAAAGAAAAGATCTATAAACTTTAAAACAAAAAACTTTTTAGAAAACAAAAAGCTTTGTATGGAGAGAAAACAATACGGGAAAGAACAAAAGGCAATGGCAGACTGGAGAAAAATATTAGTTCACATAAGACAGATAAAGACTAATTTTTCTTAATTTTTAAATATGCCACAGACAAAAGCAAACAACTGAATAGAAAAAACAGGCCAAGAATATGAACAATGAAAATATAAAGAAAAATAAATGAGCATCTAACACACAGATAGTTGTTAACCTCATTCCGAAGCAAAATTAAATAAAAAATACAAATATAAACCATTAAAAAATGTTCTAATATCATTTTATACCCACAAGATTAGCAACGAACTAAATTCAAAAATACTCAGAGTGGGTATATTGATCAAGGACTCACATGTGAGGATATTAAATATGGTGACCTATCTTGGAAGATTGGACGATATTTATCAGAAATTTTAATGTGCGTATCTTTTGACCCAGTGTTCTCACTGATATGAATTTATCCTATGCTTATACTTGCAAAAGGTGACCAAGATATTTTCACAATGATGTTTATTTGAGCTTTACTTCAACACTCTCTCCCCACAACTCCCTGCCTTGCTGTCCTCAATACACACAAAACTAAAAACAACTGAATTATCAGTCAGTATACCAAAAACAAACAAAAAACCCAACAAACTAAACCTGTTGCCATCAAGTCAGTTCTGACTCATGGTACATTAAAAAATAAGAACAACAACAACCAAATTCATTGCCGTCAAGTCATTCCAACTCATAGCGACCCTATAGGATAAAGTAGAACTGCCCTCATAGGGTTTCCAAGGAGTGGCTAGTGGATTCGAATTGCTGACCAAACTCTTCAACCACTTCGGCACCAGAGCTCCATTGGTAAACATGCAGCAGCTTAAATAAATTATAACATGATTAAGAATTATGAAAAGCTGTTTAAAATGGCTGTGTTTTAATGAAAGGGAAATAGCTCAGTATACATAATTATAATTTTCAAGGCAAGGTGTAAAAGTGTTAAGTATGTGAAAAATTGTGTGTTTAGATACTTTTATGAAAGGAGAGAAGGTTAGCAATCCCCTTGATAAGGATGGAAGTGGACCTCAGACCTGACAACATGCGTATGGTTAAGGCACTGACACTTAATTTGTCACATCTAACCAGTTTTTTAGGAGGCCTGGTTGTGCAGTGGTTAAGGGCAATGGCTGCAAACCAAAAAAGGTCGGCAGTTCGAATCCACCAGCCATTCCTTGGAAACCCTATGGGGCAGTTCTACTCTGTCCTATAGGGTCACTGTGAGTTGTAATCAACTTGACAGCAATGGGTTTGGGTTTCTCAATTTGTCATTACATTAATAAACCGTTTTTCTCTTTTTTCTGGAAGGAAACCAAAGGAAGAAGTACTAGTGGTTGTCTTTGGACAACCCCTTGGTGGGGTTGGGTGAATGAGGGAGATTTTCATTCTTCATTTTGTCACTTCCTGTATTGTTTCAATGATTTAATAAGTAATACCAGCTGAGATTTTCTGCGCAGCAGTTATTTTTAGTTTTCTTCTTTATATTCCCCTTAAAAACAAAAACGAATCATTGTTGACAGTATCACTTGGTTAGTAAAATAATTCTGATAGGGTAGACTAAAGCCTGTGTTTATGAATTCTGGTGGGAGCTGGAAATTTAGGAACTCTGTCAGTGTTTAATATTTCTATAGAGAGTTGTTGCATATGCATATGCACTGTTAATACACCTAAGACTCCTAAGTTTAGGCTGATTTTTTTAAGTGTCTATTCTACTCCCACAAGAACTGAAATAGTTTCAATATATTTTGTTTTATAAATGTTTAACTTATGTTGGCTGAAGTTGAAAAAGGCAATATTCCACAAGGGTCCATTTTCTAAAGCATGAATGATTTTTCAGGGTTATAGTATTTATGAAATATTGAGAATTTATGCATGTGAAATGTCTCATAGTAGACTGTTCTAGACTTAGGCTATTCTTTTCTTAGGTCTCCAGGGTAAAATTCAAGGCGTTGAAGCTGTAGCAAATGAATATGCTGTGTTTCTCGTAATATATACGCCTTCATGTTTACAGGAGTGTTATTTGCTCAGTTAGATTAGTCCCAAAGATTTTTTAAAAATAGTTTCATGTTCTCTCAAATCACTCAACCTTCAAAGAGAATCTCTCCAAGTTTTCATTTTTGCCATGGCAGTGCATACTGAGGGTCCTTATAAGCATGGCATTTAATGTGTTTATTTATGTCCAGTATGTTATGAAAGTAGTGGCTGAATTATTTGACATAATTTGCATAAAATCATATTTCAGTGATAAAAATTAACGTCTTGGGAGTTATGAGTGAGTTGGAATGACTCATTTAGCTTTATCTTCAGTTTCTACCACACTTGAACTTCAATTACCTGAATTATTTTCATTGTTAATTTGCATTTACTCAAGTAAGTGCTAATGATTTTTCAGGCGTTTAAGAAGAGGAGTGTTTTTAGGTACATCTTTAACCTTAGTTGAATCATAGAAGGAGCTGGCATATATCACATGTTGTACTTTAAAAGCATTCCTAAAGCTTGACAATGTTCTAGTAATTGCATTAGCAGCTATGATAGGGAAGCTTAATGTCTTTGCCATGTTGGAATCTGGCAGACTGAAACCTAGGATTCGTTTTGGCCCCTCTGAATTTTATCTGCTCGTCCATGCTTAGACAGATAAAATAAAAAGTCAGTCCTTTTTCTTGTTTTTGCTCTTGCAGAAGTAATTGTAGATTTCACGAGGAGAACAATGAACATGTCACCGTGTATTTGGGAGCGGGAAAGAGTAGGAAGTATATAAATTGTCTTTTTGGGTGCCAACTGTTATGTACCAGAATTGTTTATATTAGTGAAATCCTCTGGTTGTAGGTTATGTAAAGTGTATTTTATCCCTAGACTCTTTTTATGGTGGAGAGGGGGTTGGGGAATGTGCATTAAATCTGAAATGGTCCTCACGCTTAAATACCGCCATGTGGTAGATGGTTAATCTTCAAAACAGAAAGCAAACATACGTAACTGCTTTATTACCGTCAACATATGTCTCTCTCTAATTACCCCAGCTTATACCATGGGATGGGCTGAGGATGCAAGAGCTGCCTCAGCTCGGAGAATTTTATTTTTATTTCTTGGGTTCCAAACAGACGGTATTAGGGGGAAAAAAAGTTATGTGGATTTACCCAGTATTGGTGCTCGTAAAAATGTGACTCCGAAATTAATAGTGCTGTCTGCTCAAAACCTAGGAGAGCAGGTGTTAGGTAAGCTTGGCTAAACAGCTATGTCAATACATCTTGGCGTGTCTGAGGCTGTTGGAGGAAATTCCCGAGGAGACGCGCAACAGGACGCGTAGCCGTCGTTTGCAGGTATCTGGTGGTGACGTGTGCAAGTGTCACCTAGTGCCTGGGCTGCCGCTGACCTCCCAGTGGCCAGAGGTTACCTCCTAAGAGATTGTGATGCACGACAGGGGTCACTTGAATGCTAAAGAGGAAAAGTAGTTCCTTGACCAGTATTTCCACTAAGGTGGCAAGCTCAATTACTTACCTTTTCTTTACTGAGTAACTAAGAGGGTTTGTTGATCAGCAAAATATGGGTGTATGGTGGGAATCAACTCAGTCTGCAAACTCGCATGTGCAAGGAATGTAACTTTAATTTTCTATAAATTTTACTCATGTAGTTTCCTATAGGAGTCTATGGTGGTGCAAATAGTTAAGCATTCAACTGCTAGTGGAGAGGTTGGTGGTTCGAACTCACCCAGAGCGCCTTGGAAGACAGGCCTAGCAGTCTGCTTTCAAACGGTTACAGCATTGAAAATGCTGTGGAGGACTTCTACTCTACACACATGGGGTTGCCCTGAGTCAGAATCAACTCTATAGAAACTAACAAGAGTCATTTCCTATAACTAGACAGATCATACAACCACGTTTTCCCAGAACAATCCAGAGTTATGTCTGCTGTCCTCGGTTAACATGCTCAGATGCTAATTGAAAGGCTGCAAGTTCAAATTCACCCAGAGGTGCCTTGGAAGAAAGGCCTGGTGATCTACTTCAGAAAAATCAGCCATTGAAAACCCTGTGAGATACATGGGGCCGCCATGAGTTGAAACAGACTAAGGGGTAACTGGTTTTGGTCCTTTGTAATTATTAATAGTCCTCCCCACCTTTTTCTTTCAATAGTCTCCTGGTTACCTGCTACCTGTATCCCCACTATGACAACTTTTCCCTGAGTCAGTTAAGGTAGAACAGCTTTGATACTTCAGTGGTCATTGGGATCAAAGAAGCGCAGGAAAAAACATCTGCCAGTACTTCAGAATATTATGCTCATCTAAACATTCAAAATTTTCTTTTGCCTATTTCTATTTCTCAAAGATGTGTATAATGTCATAACATATATAACAGAGATGGAAATTGTTGGATGGGGGAGCAGCAAGCATATTGCTTGGATAACGTAGAGTTTTATTTGGGAGGACTTGATATACTTTCAGGAGCCTCATTAATTTTATGAGATCATTAGTTTACTTACTATTATTATTATTCAATAAATTTAACTCCTCTATACGAATAACACTCTATACTATACTAGTAAAATACTTTCTATGGCCATGATGTTCTTTGCTCAAAAGTTAGCCTGGGTTGGAAACAGCTCACTGGAACACTGTCTGAAAAGGAAGTGAGTGAGGTCAAAGAAGGTGAGGCAAGTTGCTGGAGAACAAGTATCTGATATGTAAAAGGATCAGGGAACACCCTCAGGTCCTTTTGTGTGGTGCTACATCACACTGTCCCTAAACTAATGCTGCAACTGCCCTCATTAATCGTAAGGCAATTTTGAAAGCCCTTATTAACAGTAATTGCCTACTTGTATGATATTCTGTGAACCAGGTTTTAGTCACAGTATTCACCATATTGACCAAATTTGGATCCACGTAAAGCACTACATTCATATCCATCCAGATTTTGTATACATGCATACGTACATACATGCATGCGTGTGTGTGTGTTTGTATGTATGTATAATTATAGATCTGTACCTATAAATGTCTGGGCTTTGAAATCAAATGATCTGGCTCCCTTTGCCTCCACCATTTCCCATCCATGTGGCCCTGGATAAGCTACTTAACCTGTCTGGGCCTCAGTTTCTCCATCTGTAAAATGTACAGTTCAAAGATTATACATGTGAAAGTACCTAGCACAGTATCTGGCATATAATAGGCACTCCAAAAATATTAGCTTCCTTATTTTATTTTTCAAGGTAATAGAAAAGGGTCATCATGGCCCAAATACAGGATGATATCAAACCTACTGCCACTGAGTTGATTCCAACTCAACTCAATACAGGATGATAGGAACACTGGAAAACAGGTCCCTCCCTGCACACAGCTTGCCTCTTCCCCCTTGGCTTGGGGTCGAGGAGGAACAGCTACACTCTTCGATTCCAACTGACACAAGAAAATGTACCTGCTCTTTTCCTCCACATATGTTGACTCATACCTTCCTGATGCCGTGGAGATAACTTAGACATATGGATTATTTTTCTATTCTTCTTCCTTCTTCAGAATAACCCAATTCTTCATATTATTTTCCCTTTCCCTTTCTTCTTCTTTTTTTTTTTTTTCAATGCTACCAGGGTGATTTTCATAAAACACAGAACTACTACTTTCACTTCTGTTTCTAAGACACTTCTGATGGAGCCTAACTGTCTAAAAATGAATGCCTCGCGGCATAGCATTCAAGGGCCACTGTAATTTGACCCAGTTAGAGATTCTTGCCTTTCTTTTTGCTTCATCTCTTCCAGCTGAACCAAACTTAACATATGCATTCTAAGCCTTGTGCCTTCTTCATGCTCTTCTTTCTGTTCCCAGCTCCTTTAAATTTCTCCTGAAATGCATCTTTCCCTGAAAGATTTGCTGATTATCTTACTCATGTTCTCTTTTCTATGAGCATACTGAATTTTATCATTTGAGTATAACTGTATCCATAGTCTGCCTTGAGTTGACTAGCTGCGTACATATCTATAATTCCTATTAATTATAAACTCCTAGAAGGCAGAGGGAGCCCTGGTGGCACAGTGGTTAAGAGCTCTGGCTGTTAACCAAAAGGTCGGTAGTTTGAATACACCAGTAACTCCTTGGAAACCCTATGGGGCAGTT